GCCCTTGGGGCAGGGCAGCCCCATAAAGTCAACTTATTCTTCGTCCCGCCCGTCTGTGCAGAAAGATGGGAGTGAGCTGGGGGAGTGCAAGTGCACATATGGAGCAAACCTGGGGGGGTATCTGTGCATGTGTCTGTGTTTGTGCACATGTGTGTGCATGTGGGGTGAGCCTGGGGCATTGTGCATGCATGTGGTGTGTGTTTGCGCACGTGTGTACATGTATGCATGCACTGGGTGCATGTGGGGGGTTGTGCATGCATGTGGGGTATGTGTGTGTGCGCATGTAGGGGCATGTATGCATGTACCCTAGGGAGGATGAGCAAAAGCGGTGCATGTGGGGTGAGACAGAGCCAAGAACTATGCCTGGAATGGCAACCGGGAGCACGGTGGGGGTCTGCCCAGCTCCAGTCTGAGCGGGCCCGTGGTCTGGCAGCCCTGAGAGGGAACGAGCCCCCTGCCCCTGAGCCCAGGCAGCTCTGAGCTGTGCACCCAGATGTCTCTACTCCAGAGAATGGGGGGCAGCCCCTCCCTCTAGGGTTCTGGGCCCCTCTGCTCAGCTCCCATCCACTGAACCCTGCATGCAGCTCTGGGTCCCCAGGCCCTGAGAAGAGGGTGCCCCCATCCCTATAGGGAGCTGGGGACGGACACACATGCACACGGGACACCATGCTCCTCTCTTCCCCCTCCCCTCAGACCTTGCACTCAACTCTGGGGCTCTCGGTCCTCACATGGAGGGAGCTCCAGGAGCTGTGTAGCTGCCTGAGGGTGTGTCAGTGTGTGGGGACAGGCTGCAGAGCCCCGAGAAGGGAGAGGAGCTTAGTGTAGCCCTGGGGGTCTGACTGGATCCTGGGGTGTGAGTGACTGAGCAAAGGGGAAGAACGCCAGGCGCTGCTGGTTACTGGACGGTGCCACTGGGAGGTGGTGGGAGCTGCATTGCTCCAGCCATTTAAACTGGATAAAGCCCTGGGTAGCTCTGTATTTGCAGGAAGTCGGGGGGCGGGGGCCTTTTCTTGCCAGATTCCTGCCATGTTGCTCGGCTGGTTCGCAGCACTTTCTCTGCAGGGCGGCGACTCCCTTGTGCGTCTGGCTCGGCATCTAGGTCACTGCCAGTGCTTAACAGAGAATGAACAGTAGGGATGGAGCAAGGCAGAGACAAGGTGTCTCCTAGGTTGCATGGGAGCTCCCAGGGGGGCTGTGCCTCTGTCCGCTACATTCTCACTGGCCGTTTGCAGTGGTTCCGAACTTCCACAGGCCAGTTCCCCTTGCGCTGGGATTCTCCAGCCAGGAGAGTGGCCCAGAAGTGCATTTTTTCCCATTATTATTATTTTAAAGTTTGGGCAAAATCAGTTCATCCTATTTAGAATTAAGTGGGGCACGAAAGATACTTCTGCATGTTCCAGTCAGAAGTGGGCTCGGGAACTCTCGGACGTCTGGCTGTAGGAGCTTTGACTCAGATGGGCTTGTAGACCTCATTGAACCTTTGGAGACAAGCCAGCTTTGAGAGTCAGTTCAGTAATTGCCAGGTTCATACTTGCCTTAGCAGAGCTTTCTTGTTTGGTTTCTGAAAGACAAGGGCGGGGAGGGAATATCTTTTATTGGACCAAATTCTGTTGGTGAGAGAGATGAGCTTTCAAGCTACACCGAGCTCTTCTTCAGGTCTGGGCAAGGTTAAAACGCTGCATCAGCGCAGCTGCACTGACACAGCTGTGCGGCTGCAGTGCTTAAGGGCATGTCTACACATACAGTGATGCAGCGCGTCTGGTGAAGACGCTCGATGCCGACGGGAGAGAGTGCTGCTGTCCATATAATAAAGCCACCTCTGTGAGCCGCGGTAGCTGTGTCGGTAGGAGAAGCTCTCCCCCCAACAGCGCTGTGCACACCGGGGTTCTGTCAGTGTCACTTACATTGCTTGAGGGATGGTTTTTTCACACCCCGAGCGACATAAGTGGTAGTGTAGACATAGCCTAAGTGAAGAGGCTCCTATGCCGACGGGAGAGCTTCTCCCATCGGTGTAGTTAATCCACCTCCCCGAGAGGCGGTAGCTGTGTCAGCAGGAGAAGGTCTCCAGACTTTTCACACCCCTGAGCGACATAGCTACGCTGACCTAGGTCTGCAGTGCAGACCTGGCCTCAGAGCACACAGCTCAGTGCAAGGTGGAACAGATTGTTTAGCATAAGGAGTTAACACATCTTTCAAGGGACCATGCAAGGTGAAGGTGCTTTGAAGCAAAATCTTTTCTGTTGCTTTATCTAGAGTGATTCCCAGTGGCTGCTGTTCCCCTCTCACGGTGGCTGGAGCTGCTTGAACAGCTGGTGGTGTCCCAGCTAAAGGGGCCATGAGCCCAGGAGAGCCTGACAGCTCAGCGGGGTGTGTGAGCTGCCAGGCAGCAGAGCAGAGAGCCCAAGCTAGCTCCTAGATGCTTCACAGGGGCCAGCTCCCATTCCCACCTTCTTACTTTGGAACAAACTCACAAGAGAAATACATGCAAAAAACAGTGTTCCTGCCTCGTGAGGCGGCAGAACCAGCCCAGCCAGGCCAGGCCAGGGAACCACCCCAGCCACACGGCCCACCTGGGGTGCCCTCCTTGGGAGCACGTCTCTGACTGGGGGAGCATTGGCAGCTGCATCTCTCTCACCCCGAACCAGGTCGTGTCTCTGAGATGGCTGCTGTGTTCTGGTGTGACTTAACCAAACGGAAAAGCTCTTTAAAGCCCTGGTGGTTTCCATAGGAACCTCTCCCCTCTGAAGCAGCTGGAGAGAACTGGTTTCCTCCCTTTTCTGGGGGCTGGATTTGGACACTGCACAGAAATGGGCTGGCCCCTCCCTGCCCCTGGGCAGGCCTCTGGGACCATGGGGCTTAGAGTGGAGTGCAGGGTTCCCAGAGGGGTCTCCCGAGAGCCCCATAGCGAGAGTGTGTCCCTTCCCTGCCTTTGGAAAGAGACTGCAATGCACAGTCCCCACGTTCCCTGCTCCCCACTCCTGCCCAGTCCCATGGCCCTAGGTGAGGTCTATTCACTGCACTGCTCCAGCCAAGTCTTGCCCTAGTATTTCCTCCCCCCACCCCCCGGTTCTCTATGGGCCCCTCCAGGGTCGTCACTACTCTGCTGCTCTATATCCCAGGTGCCCTGTACAGAGGGTAAAGGAGAGCAGGCTTAACCTGGCCCTGGCATCGCCCCCAACGCCTGTCTCAGATGCACCCCCCTGCGTGCTGCTCCTGCATTGCACCACATTCCAGTGAGCTCCGGGGCAGGCCGGCTCTGCTCTGCGGTGCACATTTCCGGGTGCTGTGGGCATGGCTCCTCCGTCCCTGCACCCACTGCCCAGGGGCACAGGGAAAGAGTCCGCACTGCCCTGTGCTAGCCAGGGAGAGCGAGCAGTCAGGGGCCTGCCCCCTGCCCAAAGTGACCCTGGAGATGAGTGCCAGCAGCGGAGGATAAACAAACTCTGGTGGTGGGTGCTGCCAAGAGCGCTATTTATAAAGGCTGAGTCAGGCCTGTGCCAGCCCTGAGCAGCCTGCACCCGGGAGCAGCCCACCAAGGACACGCCACTGAGCCAGGAGCTCGGGGGCTGCAGCAGCAGCAGCCAACTGCCCCTTTATAAAGCCAAGACTCACCCCGTGTGTCTCCCCATGACGGGCTACAGCTGCCCCTTCAGCTCTGCACTGCAGCCGGACGAGGATCTGGTGGGCAGGTGCACGCACACCAGGCACATGGAACAAGGCCTGATGGCCCCAACGCCCGGGGGCCGGGGATTCCGCAGCAGCCGCATGGAGCCGATCGAGTGCCGAGATGTGTTGGTGCAGAATGCGCTCTTCACCGGGGACCTGGAGGCGGTGCGGAAGCATTTCACTGAGAGCGCTGCCGTCAACCTCATCATTGAATCCAAGGGTGACGAGCTGCGGTGGACCAGCCGGAAACTCGGTGAGAGTGAGCACCTGGGGGACAGAGTGCTTGGTGGGTGGAGGCTGGGGGGTGAGAGGGAGTGCTAGGGCAGAGTGCTAAATGAGTGGAAGTACGGGGGGGCCACAGGGGGAGAGGAAGTGCTGGGGGGGTGTCAAGGGGAAGGGAGTCCAGGTGGATGTGTGTTGGGGGCAGAGGGAGCGCCAGAGGGTGATGAGGGAGTGCTGCGGGATGGGGAGGGAGCACTAGGGTGTTTTATATCCAACCTGGGTCCCCATCCCAGTCTCTAGGGCTACGTCCACACTGCAGACTAGGGGCGTGACTCCGCTTGTGTGCACATACACCCCTAGCTCTCAACGCCAGTAGCTGTAGCGCCGTGGCCATGGCAGCGCTGGCCTGGCTGAGCTGTGCCAAGAACATGCCCAGTGGTTTCAGGCGGGTTTACATTCTGCACAGCTCAGCCGCGGCTGCACTGCTATTGATACTCAGGCCAGCCTGATGGTAGGGTGCCCAGTGTTTCCAGTGCTGTTGCGCTGGGATAGGGTGACCAGACAGCAAGTGTGAAAAATCGGGATGGGGTGGGGGGTTGTGATGAACTGGGACTGTTCTTAATGTGGTCTTTGAATGCTGAGTGGGGAGTTTGGCTGGGACGGTCTGCATTGGGGGATGGGAGACTGGCCTTGAGGGAAGATACCTGAGCATGTAATGTGAGAACCAAGGAAGGGGGTTGGAGCCAGGTGACACCTCTGCCCGGGAAACTGGACAAAGGCTGGGGGAGGAGCCGGGGAGAGGCTGGGTGAGAGACGCTGGAGGGAGTTGGAGTTTTGGAGCTGGCTTGTAATGGAGGGGAGCCTGGACGGGGCTCTGACCCCCCAATGGGGCTGTGGTGCCCCTGGGACCCCAAGATGGACCTAACTGGGGGGGTCCTGTTGTCTGTGCCTGCAAGACCTGTCTTGGGCCGTGTTCCTGTCGTCTAAATAAACCTTCTGCTTTACTGGCTGGCTGAGAGTCATGGTGAATCGCAGGAAGCCGAGGGTGCAGGGCCTTGTCTCCCCCCACACTCCGTGACAACTGGTGGTAGAGGTGGGATCTACTGCACCCTGTGGATGGCGCTTCCTGCAGTAAGTGTCTGGTGAGCAGTAAAAGGAAGGGGGATTGACGGTGACCAGGTGGGCTGAAGAGTCAGAGAGAGATGCTTCAGGGGGCGAGTAACCCCTGGGAGTGTGTGACCAGTGAAAAGGACTGTTGCAGTAACAGGGTCCCCCGGGGGATCGCAGCGAGCTGTCCCGGGGCGGAGGAGTCTGCAGCTCGACCCTGGCAGAGAGGTGGGGACCTGAAGAAGGGCTGGCACACTAGGGTTCTCCCTGGAACGGTGGAAAGCGGAGAGCACAGGCCGGCGAGTGGCCAGCAGGAGGATGGATGCTAAACGCCTTAAGAGCGACCTGGTGGAGCTGTGCAGGCAGAGGGGGCTGCGCATTGGGAGGTCCACCAAAGAACAGCTCATTGCCCAGCTGGAGGAGAAGAATCACTTCGATGAACCGAGCCCTGTCCCTGAGAGAAGCCGCCCGGCGGATGCAGCGTGGGCCCCAGGGCCTGACATGGCTGGAAAGGGGCAGACTGCTGCCGAGGACATCCCGAGACCCTGCCTACCTATACCTAGGGGAGGGGTTGGGGGAAGCCCAGCGAATACCGAGGGCACCCTGACCCCGGCGGCCAGCAGGGGATCATCCCGGCGGAGCTCCCCGTCCCGGGAGTGGATGCAACTGGAATATGACAGGGAGCTGAGACTGAAAGAGCTCGAGTTAAGGCAGCAAGAACTGAAGCAGGAGCGGGAAGAGAAGGAGAAACAACGTCAACATGAGGAGAAACAACATCAGCATGAGCGGGACCAACGTCAGCATGAGCTGGAACTGGCCTGGCTGAGGAGCAGTGGGGCCCCGGCTGCAGTGAGTGAGGGGGGACCCAAGACTGCAAAGAGCTTTGATAAGTGCTTCCTGGCCCAGCGTAAGGAGCGGGAGGACATGGATACCTTCCTGACGGCCTTTGAGAATACCTGCGAGCTGCTCCAGGTTGACCCTGCAGACAGGCTGTAGTTTCTCATCCCCTCACTGGACTCAGGTGATGCCCAACACCTATCTGACCCTGACAGGGGTGGGCGGGGCCCCATTCAAGATGCCCGTGGCGAGGGTACACCTGAAGTGGGGGGCCAAGGATGTGGGGGTACACCCGTATTTGCCCACTGAGGTGTTGATGTGGGGGACGGGGACCTGGAGGACTGGCCAAGCAACTCCCAGGGTGCCCTGGTCGTGACCCGTAGCCAGAGCCGGCGAGGGGCACTGCGCCCTGACAACAGGGAGGGTGCCTTGCCTGAGGCGCAGGACCCTAACCTGGTGGGGAGGGGAACGCCCAGGGACACGGCTATGGGAGGCTGCGGCTTCAGACCCAGCCGGGGAGAGAGAGCAGGTGCCCATCCCTGTCCCAGCTGCTGAGTTCCAGGCCGAGTTGCAGAAAGATCCCTCCTTGCGGAAGATAAGGGACCTGGCTGACTTCAGTGCGGTACAGACCATGGGGAGAGGTGGCCGGAAAAGGTTCCTGTGGGAGAAGGGGTTCCTGTACCGAGAATGGGCTCCCCCAGGGAAAATGGAATTGGGGGGATCAGGAGGCAGCTGGTGGTACCCCAGAAGTATCGCCGCCAGCTGCTGTACCGAGCCCATAACATTCCCCTCTCAGGGCACCAGGGAACCTGGCGTGCCCAGCAGAGGCTGCTACGAAACTTTTACTGGTCTGGGGTCTTTGCTACTGTCCGACAGTACTGCCGATCCTGTGACCCCTGTCAGAGGGGGAGGAAGGCCCGGGACAAGGGGAAAACGGCTTTAGGACCCTTGCCAATCATTTCCAGAGGGTGGCTGAGGTCAAAAGGGGGGCTCTGAACCAAGAGAGCCCGAATCACAGCCCTCCAGACTGGAACGCTGGGAGAAGACCCCAGCCCAGTTGGAACCCCAGGGGTATTGGGGTGGGAAAAGGGCACGGGGCGCATAAGCCTCCCCACATGCAAACTATGAGTGCCATCGAGCACCCCCGACCTAAAGGGGAGCGTGAAACTGAAAGGGCCTGGTGTAATTCTCACCAAAGAATGGGAGGGATGTTGGGGCATCCATGGGAATGTGGGTAGGTTCGAATTTCCGCAGGTGACCCCGCTCAATTCGGTCTCGAAGGGGGGAGAGATGTGACAAACTGGGACTGAAATCTGCACACAAAAGACCAGATTTCACGGGGGAGACCAGATTTCATGGGTCGTGACGCGTTTTTCATGGCCGGGAATTTGGTAGGCCCTAAACACACGTGTTCCTGGGCAATATTCAGATACCCCTGCTGGGAAGTAGGCAGGAAACTCTTGGGGCTTTGGATGTACCTCTGCCATGCCTGCTGGGTGACAAAGAGGAAGTGTTCGCTGGGGTGACTCAGAATAAAGCGGTGATGAAGTCGTCTGATGGATTCACAGCGTCTGTGCTATGCCCCAGCCTTTAAGCAGTTTCCAGTATTACCTGAATGCTAGGGCACCCCACCTTTACCTTCCATGGGCTCAAGTTGTAACCGGGCGAATTTAGGCACCCCCACCCTGACGCCACTCAGACCCTCCCCACTCCCAGCTGCGTTCCTGGCCCTGGCCCCAGCTTCAGTGTGGCTCTGCTCCCGCCCCCAACCTCGGCCCCTGGCCACAGCCTCACTCCTAGCTGTGACCCCAGCCCCTTACCCCTGTCCGACACCCCCCAGCTGCGGCCCCACCCCTGGCCCCGGGGTGTGTGTGCAGACAGCAGTAAGGAGGGACACGACCCTCAAAAGTTTGGGGACCTCTGCCTTAACCGCTATTTATTATCTATCACCAAAACAGAAGCACACGCTGAGCCTACAGTGCTCACCACTCCCAATGAGGCGGATGAGCTTTTCTCGCTGGCCGGTCAGGATCAGGTCATCTGGGGACTCCAGTTTCTGCATGGTATGGTTGGCAGGGTGTTTTGGTCTGGCAGCTCTGATGCTGGGGCTGGGGCCTGGAGCTGGTACCCAAGAACTTCCCTTTGGACCCCAGTTTATATAGTGACACTTGAGTCCTGCTTAGCTGCACCTTAACCAATCATTTTACTAAATTATTACTAACCAATTCTCTAACCAATCCTAATCTATTGTGAAACAATTATTTAACCAATCAGAGCCCACCACCTTAGTTGATTTACCTCTTGCAAAATTAGTTATGTAACAGACAGAAACCATCAAAGAACCCAACCGAAACCATATAGATAAACAATAGAGCAGTAGGGACCATAAAGGCCAAACAACAGAGAAGTATAGATTTCACACCCACGACTATTGATAAGTGAAAAGAACAGGAGTACTTGTGGCACCTTAGAGACTAACAAATTTATTAGAGCATAAGCTTTCGTGGGCAACAGTCCACTTCTTCGGATGCATATAGAATGCATTATCACTTCAAAAGGGTTTTTTTTTTTTCACTTACTTAATTGGCCTCTCAGAGTTGGTAAGACAACTCCCACCTGTTCATGCTCTCTGTATGTGTGTTTATATATCTCCTCAATATATGTTCCACTCTATATGCATCCGAAGAAGTGGGCTGTAGCCCACGAAAGCTTATGCTCTAATAAATTTGTTGGTCTCTAAGGTGCCACAAGTACTCCTGTTCTTTTTGCGGATACAGACTAACATGGCTGCTACTCGGAAACCTATTGATAAGTGGTTTCTTGCCGGACAGAATGCCATCAAATGAAGTTTTGTTTAATCATTTTAAGAGCTAGATTATTATCTGGTGCTGGTGGGTGCTATTAGGACAGGATCGCCTTCTTAACAGACCGATATTACATTTTTTGTAATGTAATTTAGATGGAATGTGAGGATGTGACTTCCTGCTTTTTAGCTCATGGCTATTGCTGTCCTAATATGGCTGCAGACAAAGGCCTCAGATCTTACACCAGTGGTTCTCAGACTTTTGTACTGGTGACCCCTTTCACACAGCAAGCCTCTGAGTGCGATCCCCCACCCTTGTAAATTAAAAACACAACTTTTTTATATTCAACACGATTATAAATGCTGGAGGCAAGCGGGGTTTGGGGTGGAGGGTGACAGCTCACGACCCCCAGTTTGAGAACCCCTAGTGTAACCCCTTCGGTGGGCCAGAGCCCACCTGTTCCCAAGGACAGATCATGTATTCTCAAGGACTCCGAGACTGACCCTTTGCGTTCCAGCAACCTTCGTTTCTCTCCGTGGTTCTCACCAGTGAGGCCAGTCGAGATCAGATGACTGAGAGAGGCTTTTCCTTCTTAGGGAGCATTACAATCTGTGAGGCAAGGCAGTCTGTTCGAAACTAGGGAGCATTTATTAGTCACCTGTCTGGGGGGTTTGGGCAGGGCGAGGGTGTCACTGGTTCTATCTTGGGGATGTTGGGGCAGGGCAGGGGATGTCGCTGGTGCTGTCTGGGGGGGTGTTAGGGCACGGCAGGGGGTGTCACTGGTACTGTCTGGGTTGGGGCAGGGCAGGGGGTGTCACTGGTACTGTCTGGGGGGTTGGGGCAGAGCAGGAGGTGTCACTGGTGCTGTCTGAGGGGTGTTGGGGCAGGTCAGGGGGTGTCATTGGTGCTGTCTGGGGGATGTTGGGGCAGGGCAGGGGGTGTCGCTGACCCTGTCTGGGGGTGTTAGGGCAGGGCAGGTGGTGGTGCTGGTGCTGTCTGGGGTGGGGGGTTGGGATGCTGTATTAATTTAACTTGAATATATGGACTAAAGGTGTTAATATAACTAGGTCACCATTCAACATTAAACAGTTTCAGACGAGGTCTGGGCTTTAATATACAGAGTCTTCTGCCGGCTCAGTGCCATGGCAAAGGCGGGGGTGGCGCCTGCGCCCCAAGTTTGGGGAGGCTAGACCCCTGCCTCTTCCCCCAAGGCCCTGCCAAAAACTCTGCCTCCTCCGCCCTCCCGCTTTCACTGCCTGGCCCCGAACCCCGGCCAGTGCCCGGAGTAGCCCTGAACCCTGGCTGGCCCAGAGCAGCCCGGGGCAGCCCCAGCTGGAGCTGAGCCTTGAGCCTGGGTCCCCAGAGGAGCTCTGAGCCCTGCCGCGGCCTGTCCCCAGGGTGCTGGCGCGGAGCATTAGCGGAGGTTTGGGAGACTTAGCCTCCCCCAGCCTCTATTGGCCGCCGCCCATGGGCAAAGGTGCCATGAACATGCTTTGATCCTTTTGTTAAGGATGTGGGAAAGGAGGACAAATCAGTTGAAGCATTTGCAATGTGAAGTATTGAGTAAGGCGCTCGGGCCTGGGCCACACCACACGCAGGGCAGCTTGCATCAGCCTAGTCGTGCATGTGTCTCCCCCCGATGTGGGTGCCCCGCATGCCACCCCAGTGACACCGCCTCCCCAAGTGGCTCTGAGCTACCGTCCATGTCCTTAGGGCAATGCAGCACGAGTGGAGATGCTATGGTCGAGCAGCTGTCCCACAATGCCCCGCATTGACTGCTGTGGTCACCCCTGGGACCTCCACTGCCCAGGGCTTGTGGAGACTGGGAGCACAGGCACCAGGGGGGTGCTTGACCCCCGGCTCTGACCCGGGCCCTGCCCCCACCCCACCCCTTCCTGCTGTGCGGGAGGCGTGGGGAGGGAGGGGGAGGTTGATCAAAACAGCTGATCCAGGGGGCCTGCCAGTGGGGGAGGTGGGGGGGAGCTGATAGGGGGCAGCACCCACCATTTTTTCCCCGTGAGTGCTCCAGCCCCGGAGCCGGCGCCTATGACCAGAAGCCCCCCTCCCTTTCTGAGTGTTTGACATGCCTTGTTCTGATTGCCTGTCTTGGTGAGCACACCATGGCTGGGTGCAGCAAAATCCCCTTCCCATGGCACCTGGCCGTGCCCCAAGGGCATGCCCCACGGGCGAGCCCCACCCACAGGCTGAGAGAAGGAGGGGCTGATCTCCTGTGGGAGAGGGTTTGGTGGGGAGAGGCAGGGGTGGGCACTGTGGCTATGTGTGCGTTTGTCCCCCTCACGGCCCTTCTCCCGCTGCAGGACTGTGGTCGCTGACCTACGAGCAGGAGCTCACCGCGCCGCTCCACATCACGGCTGGGCGCGGCTACTTGGACTGCCTCAGGCACCTGCTGCTGAGGGGCGCTGCCGTGGACTTCGCACCTGGCGGTAAGACAGCTCTGCACGAGGCCTGCGCGGCGGCCAGAACGGACTGCGTGCGCCTGCTGCTCTCCTTCGGGGCTGACCCCAAGACTGTCTCTGAGGCTGGCTACCAGCCCCTGCACCTCTGCAAGAGCCCAGCCTCCATCCAGTGAGTTTCTTCCGGGGGGGGGGGCCCGCACACCCCAACCCGCCTGTGCACGCACACGCAGGGCCTGTTAGCAGCCCCGCCCCATGGCCCAAGCGCCAGCCCAGGGCTGAGTGTCTGGGTGCCACAGCCCATGGGGGAGAGGCCTGCTTTCGCCCCGGCAGCTGGAGCTGCCCAGGCCTGTCTGTACAGCACAGCGCAGTGCGGTCGGACTCTGGTAGCTGACTGCAGGCTCCA